AGGAAATGAGACTAAAATATGGGCTTTAATTACTAATAATGTTTCAATATTGATTTATTTATCATGACAATGCATCATTCTAATATACGATGTTAATAATAGGGAAAATCGGGCATGGGATACAGGAAAAATCTTATTTTCAAAAGCTTTCTGTAAATCAACATTTAGAAATCTGTTCTAAAAATAAAATTTTATTTAAAAAGTCAAAAAAAAAAAAAAAAAAAACTTTGAACAGAGGGGTGTCTGGGTGGCTCAGTGGGTTAAAGCCTCTGCCTTTGGCTCAGGTCATGATCTCAGGGTCCTGGGATCGAGCCCCGCATCAGGCTCTCTGCTCAGCAGGGAGCTTGCTTCCCCCTCTGTCTCTGCCTGCCTCTCTGCCTACTTGTGATCTCTGTCTGTCAAATAAATAAATAAAATCTTAAAAAGAAAAAAGTTTGAACAGACACCTCACAAAAGAAGTATATTGGTTTTCTATTGTGATATGACATATTGCCACAAACCTAAGTGGCTTATAACAATACCCATTTATTATCTCATATTTCTGTAGAGCAGAACTCCAGGTGGGCTCAGCAGAGAGCTTTGCTTAGGTTCTCTCAAGCCAAATAAATGTGTCAGCCTGACTGGGCTCTTATTTGGAGACTCTCAGGAAGAATCCACTTCTGAGTTCATTCAGGGTGTTTGGCAGAATCTAGTTCCTCATGGTTGCAGAAATGAAATCCTGGTTTTATTGCAGACTGTTGGCTGGGGCACTCTGCTCATTTTCTAGAGGCCATTCCTGGGTTCTTGCCTTATGGCTATTTCACTGGAGCAAGGAGAATCTCCCTCACACCAATCCTTCTCATTCTTCAGATCTACCTGACTTTCTCTTCTACCACTAGCCTGAGAAAATTCTCTGCTTTTAAAGAGCCCGGGTGATTAAATTAGGCCCCCCTGTATTATCTGCCTTTAAATTAGTAACCCCAATTACATCTGCAAAATCTCTTTTGCCAGATAACATAACATATTATGTTACAAATTTTTAGCTACAGAATCACAGGAGTAACACCAGGGGCAAAGATAAGAGCTACCTTAGAATTATGCCCACTACGTGAAGATGTGGGAACCAACAGGCCCATGAAGATATATGCCCCAAATCATTAGTCACAAAGGGAGAGACAGATTAAAACTACAATCAGGAACCTGTCTACACCCAACAGAAGAATTAAAATAAAATGTCAGCAGGATTATGGAAGACATAGAACTCTCATACTTTTCTGAAAGTAATGAAGGTTTCAACTTCTTTGGAGAATATTTTGGCCATTTCTGTAAAGTTATATGTGTACTTACCAAACGACCCAGCAAATCTACTGCTTGGCGTTTACCTAAGAGAAATGAAAACTAGATTTATAAAACTTTCATTGAAGCTTTATACATCATTATCAAAAACTGGAAGTAACCCAAATATATACACAGATAAACTGATAAACTGTGGTATATTCACATAATGGAATTTTTAGCAATAAAAAGGAATAGACTATTAATACATGCAATGACATGGGTGAATCTCAAAAACACTATGCTTAACGGAAAAAAGCCAGACACAAAAGAGTATGTACTGTATGACTACATATATATGGTATTTTTGAATAGGCAAAACAAATCTGTAGTGATAGACCTCAGATCAGTGGTTACTATAGGTAGTGAGGATAAGACTGGTCAAAGGCACAAGAGAACTTCCTGGGGAGATACAGATATTCTATGTCTTCTGGTGGGGGGGGGGGGGTCATGGTTATATCAAAGTATTTTAGATTTTACATGTATAATGGATTATTTTTTATCTTATGAATATTATACTTAAAGTTGATTTTAAAATGTACATATTTTTAATGAAAACAAAGATGTTTGCCTTCTTTTATTATTTAATAGCATTCTGGAATTTGGAATTGATAAAAAAGATAGATTATAAATAAGCTATTAGTAGCTGAAAGTGGAAAGTAAGTTGTCTTAGTCAGTTTGGGTTGCTGTAACAAATTACCCAGGTAGTAATTTGTTGAGTTGGTGATTTTAACAACAAACTTTTATTTGTCACAGTTCTGGAGGCTGGGAAGTCTAACATCAAGTTACCAACAAATTTCGTTCTTGGTGAGGGTTTCTGTCCTTGTTTGCAGACAACTGTCTTCTCACTCTGTTTTCACATAATGGAGAGCAGAATAAGCAAACTCTAGTCTCTTTCTCATAAGGTCACTAATACCATCATGACCTCATCTAAATATAATGGCCCCACCTCCTAATACCATCCCACGGAAGGGTTAGTTCTAACATGTCAGACTTAGGGGGGATACAAGCATGCATTCCACAATACAAGTGTAACACTATTTGAAGAGAAAAATCATAATTTTTGGACAGTAAAAGTAGCGTGGCAAAACAATACTAAGATTATTGAGAAAGCTTAACAAAATGGCTATATAGAAGATAAATACATACCAGAAAATCTAAACAAATACCAGCACAAAATATGAAAACCAAAGTATAAAATTTGTATGCTCCATCATTGCAAGAAATGTACAGACTTATATAAATTTGATAGTAAGATTAAAAGGAGGCTTAAGTAAATGGGAAACCATCTTTCTGGATAGAAGGAACACTGAGAATATGATTTTTTTGTAAATTATTCTCTAAATTTAATGGAATTCCAATAAAATGCCCAACAGAGAACGCCTAAGAAAATTTTAAGAAGAGTAAAAAGGGGACTGGCCCTCCCAGAGTTAAAAATATGGTTTAAAGCTATAATAATCAAATTCATCTGATCATAGTAATATAGGGAAAAAATGTAAAAAAAAAAATCCTTTAAATGAGGCTCCCAGGTCGCTCAGTTGGTTAAGTGTCCAACTCTTGATTTCCACCCAGGTCACGATCTCAGTGTTCTGAGACTGAATCACAGGTTGGACTCTGCACTGTGTGGAGCCTGCTTGAGATTCTCTCTCTTCCTCTACCTCTGTCCCCCCACCACCCCAGGCTCTCTCTCTCTCTCTAAAAAAAAAAGATCCATTAAACAGAATAATTACCTCAGAAACAGATCTTTTATGAAATAATGATAAGTATACAACAAAGTTGGTATTACACATCAGGGTGGAGGAAAAAGATTATTCAGTAAATGGTGTTGGTGTAACAAATAAAATGTTAACTTCTCATCCCATAGTATATGCCAAAATAAATTTTAGAACAGAATAAAAACTAAAAATCCTTTCTTTTTTTCATTTTTTAATTTAAGTTCGATTAACATATAATGCATTATTGTTCTCTGAGGTAGAGGTCAGTGACTCACCAGTCTTATATAATACCTAGTACTCATTACATCACATGACCCCCCCTTAATATCTATCACTCAATTATCCCACCTACCTCCCCTCCAGCAACCCTCAGTTGATTTCCTATGCTTAGGAGTCTCTTATGGTTTGTCTTTGTCTCTGATTTCATCTTGGTTTATTTAATAAAAAAACCCTTTAGTGCACCTGGGTGGCTTAGTTGATTAATTGAGTGCCTTCGGTTCAGGTCAAGATCCTAAAGTCCCAGGATGGAGTCCCATGTCAGACTCCCTGATCAGCAGGGAGTCTGCTTCTCCCTCAGACCCTCCCCACTCTCATGCTCTCTCACTCTCTCTCATTCTCTCTCTCTCAAACAAATAAAATCTTTAAAAAACACTTTAAACAAATATAAGTAAAGGTTAGTATTTATTAACCAAAATATTGGGATACAATGTACTAATAAAAGACACTAAATTTGCCTAAGTAAATTTCCTATTAGAAGAAAGCACCAGGAAGGCAGAGACCCTGGAGGTGTGACTCATCAGTAACCTCTGTGATCTACAAGAGATCTATGCAGTATGTATGTTCTATAAATCTTTATAAGAGTATGAAAACAACTGTTTCTATTTTTTTGCGAAAGCAGCATCACTCTCGTTTTCTTAAATGACAAACTGGGAAAAATATTTGTCATGTATATGTAAAGATTAATATCTTCTTATTAAAAGTTCATGCAAGTCATGAGAAACTTTATTGAGACCCATTAGATGGACCCAGATATGGACAAGCTATTCACGACAGAGGGAATACAAAGATTGATGAACATTTGGAATAAGTCAATATGAATAACAAACAATTACACGTTATATGTCAAATTACAGGATTTAAAAAAATAAATATGCATATTCAATGCTGGTTTGGGTGTAAGTGTAATAGGTCATCTCAAATAGTCTGGGGGAAGTTAATGCAAACCTTTTAGAAAAGTAATTTTTGCATTCTATATCTATAGCCTTAAAAATACTACTTTTGACTCTGTAATTACTTTTCAGAAAATGAACCTTAAAAAAATTATCTGCTGCAAAGAAAGAAGAAACTTTATTTTAAAAGTTCATCGTAGGATTAAAAATGGTGGTGAAAAATTGGTAACTGTGTCCAACAATAGGAAGATGGATTTTAAATTACGATTGCCACACAATGCATTACGCAGCCATTTAAATGATTTCTATAAAGATTTTTAAAATTCGATCAAGAAAGTAATTGTTTTAAAAGGTACTGTGAGGAGAAAAATTATTTTGTGATTGCCAACAATATTCAATATGCATAGAAAAAATAGTAACTATGGCATACATATTACCTTTTACTGAAAGGGCAGGCACTTAGCATTTTAAAGGGATTCTCATTTACCCTTACACCAAGACTATGAAGAGATATTTATCTATATGTATATCTTTGTTTTATATATACATTCATTAATATATGTATCTTTATTTTATATACCTATAAAATATGTATATATTTACATTATATATATATATATATATTTTTTATTTTTCCTCATTGAACAGGTGAGGAAACTAATATGCAGGGAGATGAAGTACTTTGTCCAAAGTGTTTGAGCTGAGAGAGGCAGCGGGTTTGATAGCAGGTTGGCTCTTGCATCCACGCTTTTACTCACTATTAAAATGTAACAAAATGTTTTCAGTTTTGTAGTTTTGGGGGCTCATGGGTCTCCCTTCTACTTTTCAATAATTTCCAAAGTTTTTACAGTAAGCATGACTTTCACTCATTATAAATTATCCTAATAATAGTAATCTATACATTGCAAATCCCAAAGCCAACCTGGTTTTCTGCAGTAATGCTCAGCTCTGCGTCTGGGGGTTACGTGCACCCCCGGTCTCCAGGTGTCTGCGGCCCCACATCCCCCTTCCGGCTTGTTCGCCGGGTCTTTTCCCGGGTTCCACCCACAGTACCCGGATCCCCGTCCCTGAAACACACTTTCTCCGCGCGCCTGCGTCGTGGCCGACAGCTCCAGGGTGACTTGGCAAACGTTCAGGCGCCGTGGGACCGGAGTCTTCGGGACCCGCCCAGATGTCGTCCCGCGAGGCCCCGCAGACCTCTGGCCGCGGAGAGTTCAAGCTTCTGCCGCTGGCGGAGGCCCGGCCCTCACGCGGGAACGCGGCGACCTTGCCGGGAGGGAGGCGCCCGCGGGAACTCCCCGAGGCTCGCAGGGCGGGGGTGGGCCTCGGCCCACGGGGTCGCAGAGGCCGGAAGGCCGCCGGGTGCGGGGTGCAGTCCCGGGACCAGCACCTCGTCCTCGCGCTCCTGGAGCGGTGCCCTTGGCGGTCGCGCACCGAGTCCCGGAGGCACCAGCCCGCCCGCCCACGGCCCTTTATCAGATCAGGACAATTGCTGAAAACAGGGATTATCTCAGGCTGAGGGAGCAGTGGCCCCTGAGAAAATCTAGGGTTAGTTAAAGAGGGTTGCCCGGGGACAAAACTTACGGCTTGGGTCCCGGGGACAGTTACTGTGGGGTGAGTGTATTTTAAACCCGTTATCTCCTCGACAATTAATTCTCTCTCTGGTCGGGAGCGGGAGGGTGGGGGGCTGCTCGTGCAGGGGTGGGGGCCGAAGTCCCACTTTCGGGGAGCTAGTGTAGGGGCCGCCCTTCGGAAGCACGGCGACTGGTCCTGGGGAGGAACCAAGGTTTCCCGGCCGCTGGGGCAAGTATTCGATTCGAGCTGCCTCGCTCCTGGGAGACCTTCGCACACGCCCATGCCGCCGGGCAGCGGGTCCTCTGCGGGGAACCAGCCCTTCGCTTCCCAGGGCCGCTGGGCGGGGGGGGGGGGGGGGGGGGGGGGGGGGGACAGCCGGGGCCTCCCCAGGTCCGCTTCCTTCTGTGGTCAGTACGGGGGCGCACAGAGAACCTGGAGGAAAATGTGCAAGTGTAAGGGAGTACCTTGCGTGTTCTGGCGTCCGAAAACCTGACTCCAGAGAATCACTGAATCCTACGTTGCAAGTCTCCGTGTTTAATGCAGTTTAGAGGACGCGTGTGACTTGCGTTTGTAAAATCTCTGCATCGCGCCCCCCAACTTTGTTGCCCTGGTACGGAAAGCAGAGCCGAGCGGGGGTGGGGAGGGTCTCCAGTCGCAGGCTCTCGCTTCTGCACGCGGGGCTTCTGCCCAGTTTCCTGCCTCGGAGTTGTGCCCGCCCCAGCTCAGAGCAGTTTGTGCAATTGAGAAACCCGATAGGAGGCAGCAGCTGATCTCCCACCACCCTAAAAATAATCCGCTCCGGCGCCCTGCGTGCTTCGGCTAGGGGAGGAAAACTGCCTGCGGAGTAAGTGAGTCCGTCTCTTTTACATAAATATGATTTAAACATTTTAAGAGTAACTGTAAACTGTCGATCTCGGCGACCCAAAGGCGCCCGCGCCCTCTGCCTTCGGGGTCGCTATTTCTAGGATGAAGGCAGCCGGCCCCAGCCGGAGAAGAGAGGGCGTGGGGATCAGGTTTCCACTTTACTTACAAACTGCCGGCTCTTGCTTAAAAACGGCCGGGAATACTGCAAGGACTTATTACTGATTTTTTTCCCTCTTAGACAGTGTCCTGTACTATTCATGAAGTAGTTTTCAGTTTGCTTAATTTTTGTTACTCTTTACTTTTTAGGAGTTCTGCGTCTGGGTTTGAAATTGACACTTAAGTCAGTGTAGGGAGCCCGTGTTTTGAAGGTAGTGCAAGTGCACGAGTAGGGGTTTGAAGCAGCAACAAGCTACTGCCCAAGGTATTTATATTTTGCTTGTTTGTTCAATTTGGGATTAAAAAAATATATCTATATGTCTATATATCTATATCTATATCTATATCTATATCTATATATATCCTATTGGCGTGTCTGAATTTTCTCTGTTGAGTTTCCTTTAGTGTGCGATAGAACTTCAATGGGTGGATTGAGATGAGGCACTAAATCAGAAGTTAGTGGTCATTTTTGCTAGTGATTTTCCTACTTGGATCTGTCATTCATAGGTAGACAGGGAGACAGACGTCTTTTGCTTCCTGTTTGTGAATCATAGACCGATTGAAAAAATTCAAAGACGTTATTACATTTGTTTCTTAAGTGATTTATTCCTGAAAGTACCCTAGATAATGTTAATGCCCTAAATCCTTTACAATGTCATGTTTCTCTCTCATAACATGTAATAAATCTCCAAATAACTGAAGAATGAGTTACTTTGTATGTAAGAATGCAAGTTTTTATGTTGCTTTTAGCATGTTTTCTTCAGGAGAGTCCAGTTTAATTAAGTTCTCCTAGGTTGCTACTCCGTTAGAACTGACACTTTCTTATGGATGAGCAGGAGAGAGTGCTAGTTTTTACTTTAGCCATCAACTGAATCCAAATTTTGTAACTCCAGAGGATGTGGACATTCCTAAATGCATTTCAAAGAATAAGAATACTGAGGGTGGGATTCTTGCTATGAAATCATACCTTTGGGCATCAAGGAGTATATTCGTTCTGTGGTTTCAGCTTGGCAGGCCATCCCTGTAATCAAAGTTTCACTTTTGACATTTGTCTTTAAGATTCATTCAGTCAAGTTCTTCAACCCTGTGTGCTGTCCTAAACACTTGAAAATCTTTCGGTGGGTTTATGCTTGGGGGAAGAAAGGTGTCATGTCTTCCTATCTGGCTTCTTTCCCCTCTCTCTCCTCCTGGATGCTTGGGCCTCTGTCGGTTCTTAGCTGAAGGAGACACTCCAGAAGGGGCAGGGATCAGGGACGACATGTGACCAAGGTTAGCCAGCAAGAGCAGCAATTTATGCTGTTCCCAAACTGTCCCTAACTTAATCATGGTTCTGGGAGGGAAACCTTGAATGACAATAGGAGATTTAAAAATTAATTAAAAGTCCTGATCGAACAAAATGCCCTTGGCAAACAGGATAATTATCAACATATCTACAACTTTACTCCTTCGCTCTTTTTGCCCATGTTGAGTTGTAAAATGGGCTGTTAGAATATGCCACATGTGTACTGTAGGTTGGAGAAAGAAGCTAAGAGTCAGAGGGAAAAGGATGGAGGAGGAGACAGAAACAAAGACAGGAGAGATACAGTGAGAGGGTGAACAGGTTGGGAGCCCTAGCTCATGTGAGGGTAGAGATTATGGTAGAAGAAAGAAGAAAGCCTTCAGTTTACGAATCTGAAGTATGTCCCTTAGTGTGATTGTATCATTGTATATTCCCCTATCCCGTAGACCATAACCTGTACATTATAGCAAGAACTACTAGGATTAGTGTAGTCTGATTTATGTGGTCTAAGACTACAGGTACTCTTTGTCACGGGCATTCTTGGATTCATAGTGCCTAGCACATGGTCAGCATCAATAAGTACTTTTACAGTTAACGAATGGCCTAGAATCCCAGACATCAGGTATGTGGCTGGAAATGTTCTTTGACTTTTTCAGGTTGCTGTAGTTCTCTGATATTTTCTTTCCACCATTATACACATTTATCCAGAGGTTGCTTGATTGGTAGGTTTGAGGATTGATTAGACATACCAGGTAGGCAAAACTTACTATAGCTAATGAAGTATATGTTTTGCAAATTCAGATTGTACTTAGTATCTGCCTCAATGATGATGATTAAATATCTATCATTTATCTATCTATAAATGTGGCCAATTGGAATATTATAGTTTTGGATAAAATTATAAAACTGCCAAAGTAAAAATTATTTTCTGGTTCATTCTAGGAAATGGTTTATACGTGTCTTTCAATAAGAGCGGGCTCAAGTTTCTTCCTGTCATTTCTACTCAATAAAAGAGATAGTCTAAAAAAAATAAAAGAAATAGTCATGGAAATTCTATTAATAGCTATTATTTTTCAGTTTCTGTTTTTTTCTAATTTTTCCATCTTATTGACGTACATCACTGTATAAGTTTAAGGTGTACAGCATGGTGATTTGATTTAGATGTATTGTAAAATGATTACCACAATAGGTCTAGTTAAGATCCATCACTTCATATAGCTGTGCTACATAATTCAAAATTTCCATTTTACTGCTACTTTAAAACTCTCAAGCTGTTTTTGATTATTTTATGAGGCTTGGAGTCTTAATAGTTGATAAGAATTTGCCAAGTATATACCCTCATCTTGACTTTTTTAAAATATATTTTTTTTTTGAATGAGAAAAAGTCTCAACTAGAGATCATATCAATGATGTTCAATAAAAGGGCTTACCGGAAACAATATGTGAGAGGAATTCCATATAAGGATTCAGGGGCTCCTGGGTGGCTCAGTTGGTTAAGCGACTGCCTTTGGAGAGCCCTGCATTGAGCCCCACATCAGGGTCCCCGCTCAGCAGGAAGCCTGCTTCTCCCCCTCCCTCTGCTGCTCTGCCTGCTTGTGCTCTCTCGCTCTCTCTGTTAAATAAATAAAATCTTAAAAACAAAAGAATTTACAAACTGTAAACACAGCTTTTTAAACTAGTTGTTCTATTCATATAATGCTTTATAAAACTTTTCCTTGAAATTTGGTTTCTCAACAGTTTACCTACTGTTGCCAATCTTTTCTGTGTAACACTCTCTGTTTTTTTCCTAGGGAAAAATATTGTTCATGACCATTGCTAAGTCATTTCTCAATGAAAGGGGAGAGAGAAAAGGTACTAGTTTACTCCAACCTTTAATAATCTAATTCAGAATCCAATGTGATATAATGTGGAAAAGAGACCAAGTGCAGTGAGGTTAAAATCTTAAACTGCTACTTCTTTTAATGACGACAGATAAGCTGTTTTTGAAATGGGTTGGAGGCTGCATGATACAGGCAGGGGGACAAACAGTTTAAGTCAGACACATGGGTGTGGATCTCTGCTACTCTATTGGTTGGCAGGATACTGAACCTCAGAATGCTCTCCTGTAGAATACAAATACCTAACATTACATGGCTGTTCTAAAGACTAAAGATAGTGTATGTGAAGTGCCCAGAATTTGGCAGGTAGGAAGAAAATGGGAATAATAAAATAATTTTTCAGAAGGCTAAACTCTTCAGAATTTCACAGTGGTATTTGATGGAGCAGAACCTTGCTTCTATACCATCTGTCTCAGCCCAGCAATGAGAGGCGTTCATTTAAAATGTGAGTTGGAGTGTGTCACTCCACTGATGAAACCTCCCCCCGCCCCCGCCCCCATCCCGGGATTCTGTTTCACTGAGTAGAAGCCAAAGTCCTAACGATAGCTAGCAAAACCTTGGGTTACCTCGTCCTCAGCTTCCTCTCTAAATCTGTCTACTTCTATTCTAATGTAGTATTGATTTGTTTTTTTTGAAACGTTTTGTTTGTTTGTTTCAAGACTTGATTAGGGTATATTTCATGCAAGAATATTCTCTGACTGTAGGACCTGAGTAATTTCGTTAAATTGTCATTTGAGTTATATTTAATGTATCTGAAGCCCATGATTTTAAGTCTTCACAGACAGGCTGATGGCTGCGTGCCCCCACATGGGCCCCTGTGTATTAGTATTTCTTTGTACAGTTAACCAAGAGTGGCGGTAAATTTTGTCCGGCTTAAGTTATTTGCTAATGCATTTTCAATGAGAAAGGACAAGAAAGAATTTAATATTACACTATCTTGTAGAATCAGTCAGTAATTTCATTTTTTCTTTCTTTTTCATGATATATCACCATGTTTGTTCCTTCAAATCATTTTCGTCACACACACACTTTGTTAAGGTACCATCATTGGTAGATATTAATAATTATATATCTTCCAAATTAAAATATTTTTCTCCGGAGGGGAAAAAAAGATCAAAAGGAAGTGATTTATAGACTGTATAAGGCCTTTATAAGAAACTCTCAAAAGACTTTGGCATACAGTTTCCTATTTCCTCAATTGCAAAATAAAGGGGTTAATTTTATAATAAAACCTCCTCCTTAGGGCTATGAGTGTATAAAAGGGAATATAATAATGGAGCCTCTTTGTTTTGTTTCTTCCTTTTAGAGTAAGCGATATAAGAAGACATGAGCCTTTCATTCTGTGGTAACAACATCTCTTCGTATAATATCTACGATGGTGTGTTACAAAATCCCTGCTTTGTGGATGCCCTCAACCTGGTCCCTCATGTCTTCCTCTTGTTTATCACTTTTCCAATATTGTTTATTGGTAAGTAATCTATTCTCCTATATTTCCTCAGCTAATGTTTATTTTAAAAGTGTTCATTATGGTTGAAATTTGATATAATATTGACCTAATTTTCCCCAACATGAAAACTGATATGAAAATCAGTGAGAAAAGAACAAGCAGGTTTTTTGTGCTTCCCAATTATTTCTGGTCTTGGCGTATGATATTTTGTAGGTAAATAGAAGTCATACATCTTCTTAGAAATGGACTTCAAGTAGCAACAGCAGTGTTTTAAAAAGAGGGAAAGAGAACTAGGTGGGATAGATGTAAAGCCTTTGTGGAGCATTTGCTTTGTGCTGGTGAAGAGAATGGGAAAATGGGTGAAACACAGTACTTGCCTGGAATAGTCACTGGAACTGTCCAGTGAAACAGATGTATCAAAGCCAAGAGAAAAATGACTATCCCACATTGTACGCTCATTTGCAGGTACAGGAACAAATTATCCTGGGCATTAACTTGTTAGAACAACTAATTCTTTGGGCCAGTGGGGATGATTGCATGCAGAGTGACATGTTGTGGGACCTGAGGACACAGAGCCTGCAAGTTCCAGTAGGAGTGCTAAGGGTGCATTCCAGGTAGAAAGAATACTTATGCAAACTATTTGCAAAGGAGCTAAAAATACAGGTTTCCCTATTATTTTACAGTTTACATATACACAAAATCCAATTATTATTTTTTTAAGATTTCATTTATTTATTTGACAGATGGAGATCACAAGTAGGCAGAGAAGCAGGCAGAGAGAGGAGGAAGCAGACTCCCTGCTGAGCAGAGAGCCCGATGAGGGGCTGAATCCCAGGATCCGAAGGCAGAGGCTTTAACCCACTGAGCCACCCAGACGCCCCCACAAAATCCAATTATTTTAAACAATTATGTATGACTTGTATAATTTCCCCCCAAAATCAAAATAGACCTTTAACTTAAACATTTTAAAAAATACATCTCACACATAAAAATAACGGAGGGGCACCTGGGTGGCTCAGTCAGTTAAGCATCTGCCTTCGGCTCAGGTCATGATCCCAGGGTCCTGGGATCGAGCCCCACATCGGGTTCCTTGATCCATGGGAAGCCCGATTCCCTCTCTCCCACTTCCCCTGCTTGTGTTCTTTCTCTCACTGTGTCTCTCTCTGTCGAATAAATAAATAAAGTCTTCAAAAAAATGACAGTGACTAGTATGATAAACATCTATTGAGCCTGTCACCACTCAGCTTAAGGAATCTAATGGTAAGAATGTAAGTGAATCCTCCTGTGTCCTGAGCCTGTTACTCTTTCCACATCTTATGTCCCTATTCCTTTCAAAAGAGGTAGCTACTCTCTGAATTTGATCTTGAATTCTGCTTGTAAAACTAAATTTGCTTATAAAAATAAATGGAAAAACCATCAGACTGCTTTTCTTAAGAAACTAGCATATTTTAATGGTCTGATTTAAAAGAGGGTTAAAAAATAATTTGTATGCTTTTATTTCTTCATTTAACAAATATTGATTGAGAGACTACTATCTGGCATTGTAACAGTGATCAAAATTTTCTGTTATAAAATGTATCATATGCCGAGGCCAATGAAACTCTTGGCACATAGTTATTTGTTTTCATTATGTTGAAATATATAGACATTAAATATATAGACATTAAATATAACTGTGTCAGAATGACCATGAATAGAGACATGAGTTGTGGTTTATGTGGTTGGTGTTATTTGTAGGACATTAACAGTGCCCTTTGGCCAAAAGTAGACCATAATTTTTTAATTGCAATTTGACAGTTAATAATTTTTTTTGACTTCAGCTAACTTCTTGAGAGCAGTTACTGTGACAGTCTTGTTTGCATCGGTAGCATCAAACACAGGCTGGCAGAAGGGTCTTTGAATCAAGTGGAGTTGGATTGAACATTGTCAAAGGAGAATGGTGGAGGAAAATGCAAACTGCTCATGTATAACATTGGCTACTTGAGTTAGTGAGAGATCATAAATAAATCTCAAAGAAGTATCAGGCATAAAGAAAGCTAGCCTGCAAGAGCTTACAGCATAAATTCTAGTACAACATGTTATATGTAACTAATCTCTCCATAATGAAGTTCATTTGGGAACAACTAAGACATGAATCAATTTTCTTTTCAAAGAATGCTTCAGGAGTCTAATTAGTCATTATAGAAATTCCTTCCTGCAATATTTCGAGCACAAACCCCGATTCATTCTTGAAGTATGTGAGGCTTCTCTACAAACATTTCTTTGAGAAAATACCACAATCACTGTTGAATAGTGCTGGCCTAGTCATAGGTTATAATTTTTCTCACATGATATGCATATGATTGAGTTGACTCAACTAATGAGTTCTACATTTCATTACCAAATATGGCTTTTTTCGTTAGTCCCCCTACAGATCGCATGTTTTGAAAGATTTTAGACACCAAATTGCTTTTATTAATATCATCATTAATTTGGTTTCCTCTTAAATGAATCAGGGACCTGTCAGTAAGAGCTCTGATTAACACGAGATAACCATGTTGTCACCCAGAGTTGGCCTTATTCTTGAGCACTGCAACAAATGTCAATGTGTTAACCTAGACAGTCCTGTAAAGAGTCACTGAAATTGAATTATTTTTCAACATAATGAAAACAGACCAGGATTTGCATTGCTACCCTAGAAAGCACTTCTCATTCCTTTTTCAGGAATTGCCCATCCCCCAAGTGATAACACAATATGAATTATTTCCATGATTATAATTAATCTTTTCACTTCTATACTTTTTTCAGGGTGGGGAAGTCAAAGCTCAAAAGTACAAATTCACCACAACACCTGGCTTCATTTTCCTGGACATAACCTGAGATGGATTCTTACATTTGCTCTTCTGTTTGTGCATGTTTGTGAAATAGCAGAAGGCATTGTTTCTGATTCGTAAGTGATTCAACATAGCTAATAACTAGATTACACTATACTAGTGAGTATATTGATATGGATGGTAGTTAAGAGCATACCAAGTCAGGCTTAACTTTTTAGTTATAATGTATGAGAAACCACAGGTGTCACTCATTTATAGCAGTCCTGCTTATCTATGATTCAATTTACCTATTGTCAACTGAAGTCTGGAGAAATTATCCTCCTTCTGGTGATGGGTCGTCAAAAGGTCAGTAAACTAACACTGCATCCCAGTGCCTATGCCATTTACCTCACCTCATCTCGTCATGTAGATATTTTCTCATCTAACATCATCACAAGAGGAAAGGTGAATACAGTACAGTAAATATCTTGAGAGAGAGGGAAAGAGACCACATTCACATAACTTTTATTACAGTATATTATAGTTATTCTAGTTTATTGTTATCAGTTGTTAATCTCCTACAGTGCCTAATCTATAAATTAAACTTTATCATAGGTATGCATGTATAAGGAAAACATAGTAGGACTCGGTATCATCTGTGATTTCAGGCATCTACTGTGGTCTTGGAACATTAACCCCTGCAGATAAGAGGAGGACTGCTACACTTGATGATCATGTGTTTTGTCCATATTTTTGTGTTACTACATAATTTCTCTGATAGTAAAAATTCAGGTCTCTGTGACTTGTGCTTATTCATGTGCTATTTCTTTGATTCCTTCATCTATGTAGCTCTTGCAGAAAGTTCTCTCCTTTTAAACACTCTGACGTTTATTTATTTATCAATGGAGGTATATATAGAAAGATTGTCTATATTGACATATAGCTCAAGTAGCTATATACTTACATATAACTGTATAACCAGTTCTCAGATGTTTCCATTTGTTTTATAAAGAAGCAAAGATAGATGAAGCAGGCATTAAAGAAGTCTGAGAACTAGTGAGGATATAGCCACAAATTGAGGCAAAACACAAAACCGTTTTAAAATCAGGATTTGCCATAAGACCCATACTTTTGAAGGAATTTTGTCATTCTTATAGAAGTTTGCATTAAGCAGTTAGAATATAATGAATTCTACTTATAAACCTGAACATAATGTGGGAAAAATATTTTTTATCACATATTAACAAAAAATAGGAAAGAATTTTGATAGGCAATATCAAATAAGAGAATTTTGATTATGAAATTATGTTAAATAGTGCACCACCAATTAAAGAACTGATAGGAAAAGTTCTTTAGAGTTTTTAAAAAGAAAGCTCAAAAATCATTTTTCTTTTATCTAATAAAGACCTCCCCAACATCTGTTTATGTTTTTCTGTTGCAATTAATGAGGAATGAAATTTCTGAGCTTTTGTTACAGAGCCAACTATTTTGTAATGTTTTGTGACAGTTCTTTGCATGGATGTGCACGTCTTAGTTTCTGATAAAAAAAGAAAAATCAAGGACTCTGATGATATTGCATGCCTTCAAGGACTTAGAGGCTTGATTGTCTATTATCTTATTAATTACTGTTTAAAACCCTATTGTATTAGCATAGGCAACTCTAGTTTTTGTTTTTTAATCCTTTAACATATAGGCTGCCTCTGTGTGTTTCTTTCTTTTTTTTTTTAAGATTTTATTTATTTATTTGACAGAGATCACAAGTAGACAGAGAGGCAGGCGGGGGGGGCGGGGGGGCAGGCTCCCTGCCGAGCAGAGAGCCCTAAGCGGGGCTAGATCTCAGGACCCTGGGACCATGACCTGAGCCGAAGGCAGAGGCTCTAACCCACCCAGGCACCCCCTATGTGTATGTATAAATTGGAAGATGGATCGGTCCAACATTTCCTAAAAACTTGACACCATGTAGGCGAGAATGCTTCCTTCCTGCCTGCCTCATGATTGATGTATAGATTCAGTCGGAGACTTAGAGGTTGGGCTAATAATGGTGAAAACAGATGCTAATGGCAGAAACTTGTTTTATAGTAGTAATGATATAAAAGGCCCATCCTGAAATCAAGCAGAAATGCACTCTGGATTTCCATTATCCCTCCCATTCCTTAGCTGCAGACTGCTTGCTGACTACTTCTCATTATGTATGTATGTATGTATGTATGTATGTATTATTTGAAGTAACATATAATGTATTATTTGGCTCAGGGGTACAGATCTGTGATTCATCAGTCTTATATAATACCCAGTGCTCATTACAACACATACCTTCCTCGATGTCCATCCCCTTACTCGGTTTATCCAGGGTTCTCAAAACTCATTTTCCAATGATTCCTGAACTCCAGAATTTAGTTTGCTTTCTTGTTTGCTTTGTCCTAATCTGGAAACTGCTTCTAAAGAATGCCAGTGAATATTAAATATACTTTAACGAACACCTTTTCTTCCTTATCAGACTCACTACATTTGGCATTGCTGACTGCTGCTTCCTTCCTTTTTCTTTAACAAAATATTTATGAACTGTTCTTTACTTAAAATATAACAAATGCTCATTATAATTAGTGAAATAATGCAAAGCCTTTCCTAATTGAATATTTGATTTTCTTTTTTTGTAATACAAATATTAAAGCTATTAATTTTTCTTTTGAAAAACCCTTACTTATTTTGCACAGATTTTTGTAAGAAATGTCCTTTTTTATTTCTATATAAATGGTTTGTGATTCTGCTTTAGGTACTCTCCTAGATCTAGGAATCATTTTCAGTTTGCTTTTTAGTCTAATATGATTGATTTATTAGTAGAGCATATAATTTGTTAAGCAAATACCTTTTAGGAATCATTAACATTTCCATTATAGTTAAATATTTGATTATTTTATACGGTTTTAGTGATAATAAGAAAATAATAATTTTTTGTTGGAGGCAAAATTTTATTGAGTTTACTGATTAGATTATTCAAGTCTTGTGTGTTGATTATTTTTATACTATTTAATTCATCAAAGTCTAAAAATGTGTATTAAAGTCTTCACTATTACTATGTTTTCATTTAAGCTTTTATTTTTATTAGTTTGTCTTTTTTGAAATTATTTTCTTGTCCTCCATGATGAATGCATTTTGATTTTCTTCTTTACTTTCTGAGTAAAGACTTTCTGCCATAATAGGATGTGTGTGCTTCTACCAGAACCTTGAGGTCTGGGAGTCACACTCTAAAAATAACAGAGCTTAAGGGAAAGAATAGGGTTGGGACACCACTCAAAACTTGTGTTATGGTGAGGGGGGAAAAAATGAAAACTGAGGGTTGCAGAAAGGGAGGTGGGTAGAGAGGTGGGGTAACTGGGTGATGGGCATTAAAGAGGGCATGTGATATGATGGGCACTGGGAATTATACTGAACTAATGAGTCATTGAACATTATATAAAAAACCAATGCAGTACTATACCTTGGCTAATTGAATTTAAATTAAAAAATCCATATATGTGTGTGTGTGTGTGTGTGTATACATATAGATATATATGTATATATATACTTGTGCAACTTTGTAAATAGACAACTAATAATATAATAGCAATCCTAATAAAAAGACTAACATGGTTAAAAGACCCATGAAATCCCAACAAAGAAATGCCACAATAAACATAAAACTTTACTGTAGCTGTTGCGATCTTTATTCATCCCTTACTAGATTGTCTCCCTTAATTTTGTTTTGTCATTCTTTTTCTAACTTCTTGAATTGACTACATAATTGATTTATTGTAATGCTTTTTTTTTTTTGGTAGAGCTTTCTTATTGAATATGTTTAAGAACTTTCTTCTAAGTATGGTTTTGACCACATTTATTTATAGGCCTTGATAGGTAGTATGCTCATTTTTAAATTTCTTAAATATTAGACAAGTGATTTTTAAAATTCTTTCTTTGATTCCATAATAAAAGAATACTGGAAGCATTTCTTAATTTCCATGCTGATGAAATATTTACTTCCTACTTTTTCTTTTTGACCATTTTGACTTATTTCTGGGGGTGGTGGGTGGTTTTTAAACCAGCCTTTATGTTCACATTTTTGTTACCATGTCCATATTAATGATTCCAAATATATCACTGGTCATGTTCCAAATCTCTGCATACACTGGGCCTATTAGACAACTCCCTTTGCATGTTTAATAGATACCTTCATGGACCACATGGCCTTGCTGGAACTTACTAGCTTCTTTTCTCCAATCTGCTCATACTCTTCAAGTCTTATGTGGTTATGCACCATCCACCCATCCCCCTTGGGAAATACTCTTTATATCTCCTTCACCATCACCCTAAGACCCTAACACTATTAAAGTCCTGTCTGTTTTAACAAGGACTATTTTCCAGATGTTGTATTACTTCCATGTTTCTGCTGCCAAAGCTTAATTCAGGCTTTTGTCATCTCTCGCCTGGCCTGTACCCATAATTTGCTAACTCCTTTTCTTCCTTCTTTGTCTCTTTCCTCTCCTCAGAGGCACACACTACCTATAGACTCCATCATCCATATTATTACCAGATTGATTTGTCTAAAATTCCCCCAAATCGGACCATACCACTTACCTGTTAAAAATTTCGATTTTCTGAAAGATCAGGTTCTAGCTCCTTACCATGACATACAGAGCCTTTCATCATACATCCTATCTCGAGCTTTCTGTTTGAGAATATTAAACTACTTGGCATTTTGAACACATTACACAATTTTGTGCTCCTATGTATTTACATATTCTGTTCCCTCTTTTTAAAGTGGTCTTCTACTGCGTTCCTGACTGGTGGATTCCCTTTTATATTTCTGTTTCCACTGTCAACCATACCTCTTTGAAGTGTCTTTCCCAAATGCTCCTCTTTCCCCCTTCTCAAACATGTCACTCTCTGTACCATTTATGTATGAATGTACTGAAGTCATTTGAAAAAAGTTAAATGTTTTACTAGGTGGTATTATTAATGTAAATGGAGTTGAGGGCTGTCTATGATGCAAAGCTAGTTCTGTCATATTTCCAGCCCACGTGAAGCTCTCTATGGCCCTCAGAGTGAAAACTCGTCTTTTTTCAGTCATATTCAGTTGCATGTGATACACTCAAACAGTCTTCCTTCTTCCTCCTCTAGGCAGCAGTTCCTCATTCTCGAGGCAGAGGTCGGTTCCTTCACAAAGCTTTCTCTTTCCCAGACCCTGGTCCTGCATGCATTTACAGTCCCTTCCCCTGTGTAACAATTTCCTAGTTCCTATTGCTATCTCCAGTAGACTCCAGGCGTGGTGACCCTGGATACTGTATCTTGTTGTGCTCATGGTTGCAACTCAACCTCTAAGAGTGACTGAACCCAGTGAACAACGGAGAAATCACTAAGGGCCATAAAGTTTAGGGAAACTATCAAAGGAATAAACGTACTTTTCTTGTACATTAGAGTTCACATCCTTGTGGTTGTTTTTACTTGCTTTATGTGTTCACTTATTTCAGCAGTTCTGCCCTTCGATAGAGGAGAAGTTACATGTTTGCTCTTGTGTTTAAGGGCTTGTTTCACTGTGGGACCTAGTCCTCGGTGTTGGGATAAATCCTTTCAGCAGAATTTTGTCTCCCAGTGTAGTCTTCCTTTGCATGTTCTCTTAGCAATGACTACTGCATTCTGTATTTTAAGTATCTTATTACTTAAGGGAAAGTTTTAATGAACAATTTGGAAACAAAATGAGAAGCTGTCTGCAACCACCATCTCTAGACACTGATACTGTACCGCTCTCTGCAGACGGCGGGAATCCCGGCATCTCCACCTCTTCATGCCGGCTGTGATGGGATTTGTCGCCACTACAACATCAATAGTATATTATCATAATATTGAAACATCAAATTTTCCTAAATTACTCCTAGGTAAGTATGATCAAGTGTCGCCCTCCTTCCTGGAGCTATTTTTCTTTCTCCTCCTAGTAAACGCTGTCCCTGGGGGTTGGAACTTGGAGCATGGGAAAACCACAGTAGTTAATTTCTCTGGTTTCCTGGTGAATGGGGAGATGAAGATAAACTGAGTGCTCTGGGCTGTGAAAACTCTGTTCCCCCAGGACATCTGTTCTCCACTAGATGCCCCTCGTGTTGTGTTGGCGTGTGGTAGGAGGACTGGGGAGGGTGTGCCCGCCTTCTGTCTCGCAGAGGCTCTACCCTAAGAATTGAGCCCTTGCTCCTGTCCTGCCCCAGGAGCAAGTCAGTGTGTCTAGCTCCCTGCGCTTCTGTCTCTGGCTTGGGATCCTGAGGCGTTTTCTGAAGGTCCCAGCTTTTCACTGATGCTGTGGCAGTGTCACGTTCTTCAGGGCATGGCTGCTGAGGTGTGGGGGACCCCGGGCAGCAGAGTATGCTTCACAGCCTGCTGGAAACTGTGCCGTCCTGAGAAGCAGCTGTCCTCAAAGACATCTGCTTCATGCCTAACCTTTTCTTTTTCAGCCTCTCCAGCCTCCTTGTCCTGTGGAAATCAGAGGGCTCTAATTTTATTTTTGCCTGACATTGAAATAATATCACTTATCCCAATTAGTTGTATTTAATTCTCTGACCAATCTTTGCCTTCTGTGGTGTATACTTTCATAAAGAGAGCTAAGAGGGAGCTGTAGAACATGGATTGTGGCTGGGCTTCCAGGGCCTGTAAATATCCTAAAATCACATGTGTTTGTGTGAATGAATCCTGACAATTTTACAAGGTACAGAGAATGCACTTGATTGTTTAACGATGAGAAAGACATTGATTACTGATACAGAAATTTGGAAAAGTAATAATTAAACCACACAAATATTTTATTTGCTTGTCCAAGGACATTAAAATTTGAAAATGAGTTAGTGGAAAATACTGAGTATTTAAGCCTGTGTTGTGCCACATTATATGATTGGGCAAAGGCAATCTAGTACAAACAAGTAGACCGGGTTAAATGTTAATTTAAAAGGCTTGTCAAAGTCTGAATTATCTTAATAGAAAGCTGTTTAGTACCACATGAAAGGCAGATGTTATCACAGAAATCTTTTTTTGAAGATGCCAAGAAAAAAGAGTGAAATCTTTAGTAGGCAACAGCAAAAATATATATACCATTGGGAATCCAATACATTAGGCATTTAAGTTTCTGAGAAACTGATGATGAAAAAGATATGAGTTATAAGATTTAGAAGGGAATTAGAATTCCTTAGAGGGCAACTAGAAGAGAAATGTGCATTTTGATAATATTTTGAAGGAGATGAGATTCCAGTCTGGCTGTAGATACAAGGCAGAGGGCACAATTAGATGATATTGTTGGAAGGACTCATGGAGATAAAACATAGTCTAAATTTCTTATTATTTTAGGAGAGAAATATTTGGGCCCAGAAAAATTACACTTATTTTCAGATCACAAAATGAGTAATTTTGTCCCAACATTATATTATGAACATCACCAAACATACAGAAAGTTGAAAAGAACCAAGTGAATACTCATAAATTCCTAATAATTAAATTCTTCAATTTCCATTTTATTCTATTTATTTGATCACATTTCTGCATCTTATTTTTTTGATACATTTTAAAGTAAATTGCAGACATTAATATGCTTCACCCCCTAATTATTTCAGCGTGCATATCATTAAAGTTAAATTTTTCTACAGTTCTTTTTGTGAGATAAAATTTACATGCTAAAGTACAGAAATCTTAATTTACTAAATGCACACACCTGTCTAACTATAGAACGGTTCCATGATCCATGAAAGTTTTCTTTCTTCTCAATATCATCTCCACAGAGACAAAAATCTAATCTGATTTTTTTTCCCCAGCATAGGTGGGATTTGTCTGTTGTAGAACTTCATATAAATTGAATAATGCAGTATAAATTCTTTTGTGTAACACTTCTCACAGCATGATTTTTTTGGGGGGGGCTAGTCCATAATATAGTATAGATCTGTATTTTGTTCTCATCATTGTTGGATACTATTCCATTGTATAAATATACCACAGTTTTCCGTTCTCTTGACAATAAGTACCTGAACTATTTCCAGATCTGGGTTATCATGGAAAAAAAACAAACAAAACAAACTGGTATAAACATCCATGTGCAAGTTTTTCTGTGGATATGTGTTTTTTATTTCCCTTGACTAAATACCTAGGAGTGAAATTGCTGGGCCATAGGGTGTGTAGTAAATGTTAATGTTTTGTGAAGAAACCACAAGATTTTTCCCAAAGTGGTTTACTTTACATACTCACTAATAATGTGTAGGAATCCCAGCTTTTCCACATGCTCACTAACATTTGATGATTTGGTCTCTCTAATTTAGCCATGCTGGTAGGTGTGTACTGATAATTCATTGTGGTTTGAGTTTGCATTTTCCTGATGGCTAATGATGTTGAGCACTTTTTGATAAGTTTATTAGCCATTTGTTATATTTGTAAAGTAGCTAAATCATATCTTTTGTCCATTTTTTATTGGGTTGCATTCTTATTATTGAGTTGCTGGAGTCCTTTGTATATACTAGATATTAATATGGCATGGGATACATGTTTTGAGAATATTTTTTTTCCAGTCTGTGGCATATGCATATTCATTTACATAGCAGGGTCTTTTGGTGAGCAAAAGAGTTCAGTTTTGTTGTACCATAATTTATCACTTTTTCATGCACGATTATTGTTTTCTATGTCTTAAGAAATTTTTGCCTCTGCTCAAAATATATTTTCCTCATAGTCTCCTGTTTGTTTGTTTTAGAAGCTTTATAGTTTTAGTTTTTATTTTTAGGACTGTGATCCATTTAAAATTAACTGTGTAAATAATGTAAGGCTGATGCCGAGGCTCTTTTTTTCCAAATGGATATCCATGTGCTCCAGCACCATTTGTGGAATGGACATTCCATGTCTTGTTAGATTGCATTAGGACCTTTGTGAACTATTTGGATCAAGTTACCATTTTAGTGTGATCTATTTCTCGGCTCTATAGTTTCTGTTCCTTTGATCTGTTTGTGAGTTTTATGAGATTACCATTCTGTCTTAATCTGATTACTATTGCTTTGGAGGTCTTGAAATCATATAGTGTACCCATACAACTAGTTTTCTTTGCTTTTCTCCATGGATATTCTAGTTCGTTTATAGTGTCATATGTAGTTAGAGTCAGGTTGTCAATTTCTACCAAAAAAAAAAAAAAATCTCAGCAGGATTATGATAGAGATTGCACTGAGTGTTTAGAACAATTTGGAGAAGAATTGACATCTTAGCAATATTGAATTCCACAATCCATTTGTTCACTTATTTATTTAGGTCTTCTCTCATTTCCCTTAGCAATGTGTTATATTTTCAGGGTTGAGGTCTTCCATGTCTTGTTAAATTACTAGCTTTTTTGTTTCCCCACTGCTGTTATGAATAAACTTGTATTTTAAATGCTGTATTCTAGTTGCTTCTGTCATATATATAAAATACAGCTGATTTTATCTATTGACCTTATATTTTGAAACCTTGGAAATTTACTCATTACTTCTAATTATTGCTTTGTAAGTTTCTTGGGATTATCTAGATATACAAACATACCATCTGAAAATAGGAGAATTATATTTATTTCTTTTTAAACTTTATGCTTTTTTTCACAATATTGAAATAACCAGGACTTCCAATATAATGCAGAATAGACCCGGGGAGTGTGAAATCTTTGTCTAATGCCTGATTTTAGGGGAAACATGGTCAATATTGCATAATTAATTATAAAGTTAATTATAGGTTTTTCATAGAAGACCTTTATCAGATGAGTAAATCTTCCTCTATTCAAAGCTTTCTCAGAGTTGTTTTTGTTTTTTGTTTTTTAATGATGAATAGATGTTGAATTCTATTAAGGATTTTTTTTGCATCCATTGGGACAATTATAGTTCCATTAATGTGCTAAATTAATTGACTTTTCAAATGATAAAGCAACCATGAATTCCTGGGCTGTATTACACATGGTCATGATATATTATCCATGCTATATATTCTTAGATTTTGTTTTCCAAGGCTTTTTAGATCTATGTTGTGAAGGATATTGGGTTTGTTATTTTCTTGTAATATCTTTGCCAGGTTTTCCTATGCTGGGTTATATTGGCTTCTAAAAATGAATTGTAAAATGTTCTCCATTTCTCTATTTTCTGAAAAACATTGTGTACAATTAATTTTATTTCTTCCCTAAATGTTGAATGAAATTCATTCATCAGTGAAATCATTTGAGCCTTTTAACAAAGTAAGGATTTTAGGGGCGCCTGGGTGGCTCAGTGGGTTGAAGCCTCTGCCTTCGGCTCAGGTCATGATCCCAGGGTCCTGGGATCAAGCCCGGCGTCAGGCTCTCTGCTCAGTGGGGAGCCTGCTTCCTCCTCTCTCTCTCTGCCTGCCTCTCTGCCTACTTGTGATCTCTGTCAAATAATAAATAAAAATCTAAAAAAAAAAAAAGTAAGGATTTTAAATGTAAACTTATTTCTCTACTAGACATGGACTCTTCAGACTTTTTTTTTTTTTTTTCTTTCCCTTCAGAGTACTTCTTGTTATGTCAGTTTTGGGAAGTTATAAGTTTCAAGAAATTTTCCCTTTCATCTAAGTATTTTATTTATTGTTATAAAGTTGTTCAACGTAGTCCCCAATTATCCTTCTTAAGTACGCAAAATATGTAGGGATAATTCTTGTTTCATTCCTAATACTGGTAATTTATGATTTCCTTCTTTTCTTTATTAGTTTAGCTAGGGACTTAGCAATTTTCTTGATCTTTTTAAAAAAAAATCAATTGTGTTGGCTAATTTTCTCAATTATTCATTTTCTATTTCATCGCTTTCTACTCTTATCTCTATCATTTTCATCCTTTTATTTATTTTGTTCATCATTGTTCTTTCCCTAGTTTTTAAGATAGAAAATTAAATCATTGATTTTG